GGGCAGTGATCCGACTGCTGAAGCGAGAACCGGCGACTTTGGTGCTGATCCGCACAGCCAACCTCCAGAAACTGGACCCCGAGTCCAGCTTGTTCAACAGTGACTGGTTCTCCCAACAGCTTGACGCAGTGCTCCGAGCCATGTTTAAAGGTCTGAACGTCCGGCTGGTGGACGCCTGGGAGATGACACTCGCCCACCATCACCCTCATCAGCTACACCCTCCATCTGACATTATATCAAACATGGTTAACTTCATCCTATCACACATCTGTCCAGTGAGGAGAAAGAGAAGGCGGGGCTAAACTTCTCGAGCAGTATCTTAAGGAACTGGTGAGACCTAGCACTAATCTTCCATACCTCTGTCTTTGGGATCAGCTCTTTTGCTATCTATTCAGCTATTATTTTCTGTCTGTTTGGCTTGCAAATGTTTATAATGATTTTGCTGGCCGTATTAAAATGCAAAATCTCCATAACAGTTAATGTAGCCCTTTATACTTTAATGGCAATATCCTGAGGTATGGAGAATCTTTTTTTTTTTTTTCCCTAAACAAGTTTAAAATTTTCCTAAAGAGAATAGATAATTCCCCCATAAAACATTTATAATAATGGAGCACTTATCATTATTGGTTTTACATTGGACTCTGGCAGACCACTTAATCTTGAATGAAATTCAGATTTCAGTAATGTGCTTTTTTCACCAAGTCCAGTGGCAACAAATGGATGAGGTTCTATTAATTATTTGTGAAATGATTCTCAAATAATTTCAGCATATTTACATAGTCAACAGGCGAAAACTAATCAAACGTATTTGCTTGTACTGCAGTCAGGGATTTGAGTAGAGAGAGTTCATCCAAAAGTGAAAATCCTGTCATCAATTACTCACCCTAACTTTGTTCCAAACCTGTATGACATTCTTTATTCTGCAAAACAAAAAAAAAAAAACAGACATTTTTAAATAATCTTGTGTGTTCCACAGGAGAAAGAAAGTCATATTGGGTTGGAATGAGGGGGTTCATTTTTGGATAAACTATGAATGAATAAACTAAAATTGAAGCCATCAACCTCAAGGCTGCAACCGTATGAAAAAGGAAAGATTAATTTATTTATGTATAGAATATAGGGCTGCACGATTGTGACAAAAATCATAATTGTCGATTATTCCTTTGAAATTGTAATTGCGATTATTAATTTACGATTAAATGAATGATGTTTACACCTTTATTTGAAGCAACTGCATGCCATATTTTTATATGAAAATAAGCTGAAAACACTAACTGAAAAACTTTTATTGCTTTTCTATAGTATTAAGCCTCAAATGTCAACTATACATCGGATTGGTTTCTCTTTAAATAAAAAGGTAAAAATATGCATGGTATTATAATGTTATACTAAAATTAAAACAATGGAAAAACCCTTAAGATAACATGTAGAAAGAAAAAAAATGCATCTTAAGCACGCAGAATAACATAAGTGGACTTTGAACGATTAAGTGCTGCTTTGAACTGTTATGTAATTGCGGCATCCGTGATTGTAATTGCGATTAGAAATTCGATTAATTGTGCAGCCCTATTACTATTACAGAAGTTATATGAGAGTATTATGAACTATGAGTGCAAGCACAACTATTTCTGTGCCTTGGTAAACAGGGATTGTGTTAGCTCAGGGGTAGGCAAGTTCGGTCCTAGAGAGCCGCAGTCCTGCAGAGTTCAGCTCCAACCCTAATCAAACACACCTGAACAACTCTGCAGGACTGCGGCTCTCTAGAACCAAACTTGCCTACCCCTGTGTTAGCTGGTTATTATCTGTATCTGTCCAGCTGATATGTAGGCCAAGTGTAGTCACGTGACAGAAGTATAAAGAGTCTTTGGATATAAGGGGCACCAGTGTCATCCAGAGATATGAATTATACTTAGTCACTTATTTAAATATACATTTGACCATTTTGTTACAGCATGATTATTGATTTTAGTATTCATTTTGTCTTTTATGCCCTTGATTAGTTTGAATATAATTTCTCCAATTCTGCATTTACCTCTGAAAGATCTGAAAATGTATATATTTATTAATTCCATATGTTCTGTCTGTTCTATTTTATGTATCCAAAAGCAATGTAAAAGACATTTACACTCCAAAAATGGTTATTCAGATTTTTTGGAAGAGTTGTTTACGATCAGTTCATGTGCCTTATTTAACAATACCTATTTTTGGATTCATTTGTTCTATTCCATTTTTTTTTTGTGTGGTTTACAGTGATGAAATTGGGTCTCTGTACTAGAGTTTTCATGCATTTTCTTTTTTTTTTCTTGCGCTATGTAAAAGGAAGTTCTTAAAATTCTTCATCCGTCCAGTGTTCATGAATCGCCAAAATAAATTCATTCTTAAGCATCCATTGTGCTCGTCTAAACATCTTTTGAATGATCTCTGGCACTGCAGATTGGTATATTATTTTTTGATGCAGTAAGATCCACTCAGACGAGAAAATTATAATTTCAAATATTAAATTATTGTAGAAGGAATAAAAGTTTTTTTTATATAATAAGCAAATGAGTTTTGTAATGTGAGAATAACAGATAAAAACTGAAGAGATAATAGAAGAGAAAAAGAATAGATAAAAACTGAGTATTCGTGATCACATGGATACAATATCATATTACATTAATAAAAATTCATAATGAAAGATTAATTTAAAAAGGGGCAAAAGTCAAAATAACAAAAACCCTGATTTTTTTTGAAACAGGACGACTGGACAAAGGTAAGAATAATAAACTATGTGAATTTGAAAATGTTATTATTAATTATAAATTAAAATATATAAAATTGTACTTCATACTAACTACATTTTTTAAAAATCTTTTAATAGGTGAAATTCGCAGGTGTTATAAAAAGAAGCCACAAGCTGGGTGAAGGACGATTTGGCCTTGTGTGCCAAGGGACTCGCTGCAAGGATGGACTGAAGGTTTCAAGTTTTTTTTACATAACTTTGCTGAAAAGATCATATCAACATGCCCTGAGCCTCAGAAATTTGTGAAATTTGGCATGTTTCTTCAGACTATCTTATGCATGTGTTCCACATTTTGTTAAGATTGGACACTGCATTCACAAGATTAATCATTATGGGTCTGATTCAAAAATATATCAGCCTACATTTCCACATGAAATCTTCAGACTTGGCGCCAATCCAGACATCACAGTCTTTTGTTTACATGACGAGTAAAGTTGTATAATTATTTTATTACAGTCCTGTAGCAGCTGCTTATTCTTTATGTTTACCACAGGCATTCAAACTAGTAAGAAATATAGTCAATAATTTTTCAACCAATGTTATATGTGTAAACAACCTGTAGGCGAAGCATTGTATCACCATGTGGATGAAGCACCTTTCAGGGCTAAAATGGTTTTCCAGAAATCTGTTTTATGTGGATCTCATTCTACTGAATGCAGTTTCTTGTAGCACCACACGGGGCCAGCAGTGTACTGTCACAAAAACATATACAGTAGGCTAAGCGAGAAAGAAGTATACTACTGCTTAGTACATACTATTTTAGTTTACAAATAATATTTGAAACATCATAATACAACAGTAAACCTTTCAAACTGTATTGTTACATTGTTGTCAAATGTGACCTCACTATATAATTTAAGAGTGATTTTTAGTTGTCATCTAAAAATGCTTTATTACAATAATTTTGGCTGTCTGATAATGAGCCTCATATGTCTCACTGGAAACACTGGAAACAGGTCAAGTTGTGTGCATTGCATGTGGGATACATATGGTCAGGTTGTATAATGCACATTCTGGTGGTGTACAAAAAAAAATGCATACTATGAGCAGACTAAACAGTAGAAATTGAACGAGTAAAATGGTAGTGTGATACTCCTAATTGGTTCAAATAGTAAGTACTTTAAAGTATGTAATGATTTTATAATGCTGGATAAAGGTGAATAACTAGGCAGATCAATGCACATGAACAGTACACTTGATCATAAGGGCAAGACACTTTTAGTAAATTTGATTTTAATATTACTTTATTTTGACGTTAATCAACTTTCCAATATTACAGTACAGTTCAGTGCGTATTTTGTAATGTATGGGTTTCATGTAACAATTTCATGTTAAGGATATGTAAAAAGTTAAAAAATAAAATAAAATGTTGTTTAATAAATATTTCCTAAGAAATACATATAATGAAAGAGACTTTTCTCAAATTTATTTAGAGACATTCTGATAACCGTATGACAGAAACTGAGTGAAGAAATTCATGAATTATGATGGTAACTCAAGTATATTGGATGGAAAACACCTTTATCACCATGTATTTGAAACAAGCCTTTTAAAGAATGTACAATCATACTAAAATGAATATGTAACATTTTGTAAGTTATTAACAACCGTATTAATTGTTGCTATAGGTACTAGTGGCACGGGACAATGACCTGAATTCTAAATGAATCCGATGATCTCGGTTCATGAAGAAAGTATGTGGAGGCTCTACTGGATGACTGTTGATGGAGGGGAAGTTTCTGGGGTACCAGTCGAGGAGAGTCCCTTTCGGTCCTCTGGATGCCCTTTACACAGCACTGGTATCAAGCCTGAGCTTCTTTCTCCTTTGCCTTCTGTTCCCGGTTATACCTGTGGGGAATAAAGAGCTCATATATTGAACATCCCTCAAATTACACAATATGCTGGAAGACCCGGTCTGCTTTATTGCTACCAGTCTTGTTAAAGTGTAGATAAGCAAAAAGTAAGCTCACAGCAGATAAAATGTGGAAAAAGGTTGTTTTTTAATGGCACAACAGCAATAAAGCATACCGTTTTATTTAAAGAGAGGGTGTTTTATTTAGATTTAGAGAGTGCAAGACTTGATGCACTTCACTGCCAGACTGCGTCAGCTGAAGGTTTGTTTGGAAACTGAACAAAAGTCTAAAATCAAGAACATTAACCTTTTGCCTGTTTCCCCATTTACGAGATTTTATAGCATGTATTGTGTAGGTGAATGAGAGTACTCACTTCCATTTTCTGTAAAGCTGTGATCCTCCTGCACCGCCAACAAAGAAGTTTACAGCAAAGAGATTCCAGTTCTTGGGTATAATAACCAAGGAATACCTGGACCAAATAAGACCTGAAAAACAGAGAGTGAGGGAGATTGGGATATTTGAATTGTTCGGGGTTTTTTTTTTTTTTTAAAGAATTGGTTACTGTGTGAGATATACCTGTGGCTGTCAACACAGCAGATTGGGAGGTACTGAGTTTCTCTGCTGGACGTGTCATGTCTGCTAAGCCAGCTATGACCAGACCCTGTGTGAAATCAGAAATGTAACAATTATCTATATATATAAATAAATAAATCTCAATTAATCCAAAGAACATCCAGATCCTGTGTGTTATTAATCTCACCCATTTAAACATTGGTGCCCAGAAGAAAACGGTCTTTGGACCTAAACAAAGCGCAAATCAATACAGTGTACAATGTTCACATAGAATGTGTGTAATTGTGACAGCAATCAGGTGTTTCAACATACAAAACAGTACAAAAAAAGTACTGACAAGAGAATTTTGGGTGATTAATTGTTCAGGGTTTTTTTTTTTTTAAAGAATTGGTTACTGTGTGAGATATACCTGTGGCTGTCAACACAGCAGATTGGGAGGTACTGAGTTTCTCTGCTGGACGTGTCATGTCTGCTAAGCCAGCTATGACCAGACCCTGTGTGAAATCAGAAATGTAACAATTATCTATATATATAAATAAATAAATCTCAATTAATCCAAAGAACATCCAGATCCTGTGTGTTATTAATCTCACCCATTTAAACATTGGTGCCCAGAAGAAAACAGTCTTTGGACCTAAACAAAGCGCAAATCAATACAGTGTACAATGTTCACATAGAATGTGTGTAATTGTGACAGCAATCAGGTGTTTCAACATACAAAACAGTACAAAAAAAGTACTGACACAAGAGAATTTTGGGTGATTTTTACACTAAATACTTGTTCTTGCCAGTACATTTTGTGGCCGTGTTTTCATAACAAATATGTATAATATCTTTCTAAAATATGAAGGTAAATGTAAATAATTTTTTTACAGCACTGAAGCACACAGACTTGAACCTGCATGCCTGTGAGCTGATGGCACTGCGTTGTGAACATGTCCACCACACCATGCCAAAGCTCAGACTTTAATTGATTTTCAATAAGAAATTCAATATACAATGGCTGATGGTACAAATGTTTAACCAATTATGGATAATTATTTGTAAACAATCAATGTTTAAATATTCAACAAGACTAACTGCACTGATCATCTTAGTGGAGTTCCAGCCATCAGTGATCTACATAATACAAAAAGTATGTATTAGAACATCTAAAAAAACCAATCTGCATTATAAAGATTAATGTTAATATCATTTAATAAAAGATCAGTCATCTCTAGTGCTTAATATGACCCCCTCCCTCTGCCAAACGTGAAGCTGAGGTAAAAAAAAAAGGTCTGTATACCAGCACTGTTCTTTTGTTTAATCTTTTTTTCAGTCAGTCAGCCTCTGCTTATCAACTCGCATGTAATTTGATCTATATTTATTCTACCACCAATGACTAGAACTATAAACACTTTAACTCCCTTTAGAGAACTCATGTGAGATTATTAGAACAGAAAATATTTTCAGTAATTCAGTAACAGAAAATATTACATTGAACGATTTCTGTTTCTCAAGGGCACTTTCCACAAATGCAGTAGGGCACAGTACAGTACAGAATAGTTTTTTTTTTTCTTTTTTTTCATTACATGTACAATTAAAATCTTACATGTACAATGGATTATTGTTTAAAATTATAAATATATAATACTAATTGGAAAATTACAATCACATAAGTCATGACTTTAAAGCAGCACCATGTAACTTTTCTGTTTTCAAAATTACAAGTTCATCATTAATTCCTCTTCCAAACCTAGTTTTTGTCTTATTCCGAATCACTACGGTACACTTATAATAAGTACTTATATTTGGACTATTGTAGCCTGATCGGGTCGTCACCGCTGCGGAGTAACACATACCTGCGTGAATCGCCATAGACATAAACTTAGAGAAGTAGCTCCGGTTGGAATATTCTTTCGCGGGATGTGTGCAGTTCTGTTTATTAACCTCTAGAGCACCAAAAGTTACACAGTGCTGCTTTAAATGCATTAGTCGTGTCCCAAAATTTGAAAACACAAATTAGTTTAAACATATTTAATTAAACACAAGTTTAGGCACATTCTTTCACTGATCAACTGATCAAAATGAAAAGACAGTGTTAATTCTCACTTATAATATGTGTAAATACGTTTATAAACATTTGTAAGCCCTGTTTTGCACTCTAACTTTTCTGTTTTCAAAATTACAAGTTCATCATGAATTCCTCTTCCAAACCTCGTTTTTGTCTTATTCCGAATCACTACGGTACACTTATAATAAGTACTTATATTTGGACTATTGTAGCCTGATCGGGTCGTCACCGCTGCGGAGTAACACATACCTGCGTGAATCGCCATAGACATAAACTTAGAGAAGTAGCTCCGGTTGGAATATTCTTTCGCGGGATGTGTGCAGTTCTGTTTATTAACCTCTAGAGCACCAAAAGTTACACAGTGCTGCTTTAAATGCATTAGTCGTGTCCCAAAATTTGAAAACACAAATTAGTTTAAACATATTTAATTAAACACAAGTTTAGGCACATTCTTTCACTGATCAACTGATCAAAATGAAAAGACAGTGTTAATTCTCACTTATAATATGTGTAAATACGTTTATAAACATTTGTAAGCCCTGTTTTGCACTCAAAATCACCGAAAGTGCCAAAAACACAAAAGCAAGTTTGGCAAGCCAAGAACTGCAGACCAGTGTCAACAACACAC